TTCCACAACATATACTAATGTTTTTTCAGTGCAATATATTTTTTCCCAGGTATTTCTTTGCAAGATATTTTCTTCTCCTCAAAATCAGTCTGCAGGATATTTCCTTCTGAAATCACCCATACCCCCTCCCCACCTTCCCCTCAAAAGTCAAATGGTCGGCCCCTTAAGTTGACCTTAAGCACGATTTCTGAGGTTTAAAAAAAAAACACCGAAAGAATGACGAGAACGCTAAAAAAGAAACTTGAATCAAAGCTGGGTTAAAATTTCAGTAGAAGAATGACAGCTGGAATGAGAAACGATTCAAATGTCAAATCAGCAATTTTTCGAAGAATTGGACGCATCTAAGTATACAGTCATATTCTCAATACCTATCTTTATTTTCGCATCTAAATCAACCGTATAATTATTTAAAAACCATCACTAAGGGACTTAAGGTCCAAGATATTGAACACAATCCACAGCATACCATCAAATATCAAACAAGATAAATCTACATTTTGCGTTTATTTTAGGTGAACTCTTAACGCGGATTAACGTGATAAATGTACAGTCCGACCACCACTTAATCGAAAAATAATTTACGCATAAAGTAGAAAAAGTTAAGCGACAGATCTACCCACAAGAATCGAGTTTATATACAAATTTTCACAGCTTTTAAAATATTGGTTTGAAGCGAAAAAATATCATATAATGCTTAAACAGCTTATGATGTTGAGAGCAAAACGCGTCAACCAACAGAGATATTCTTTGATAAGGGAGAGAAAAAGGCTTATTTTAGACTTAAAGGTCCAAAAATCAGCTGACGATTAAATAGTGTAACTATTATCAATAATATATTATATCAGTAATTTCCCATTTGTACATTTCTTAAGACTTAAGCTTTCACAACACATTACAACAAGCAAGTAAGCCAATATGGACAATTCTCAGGGCCCAACTGTTGAAACGCCGGTTAGCGCTAACCCGGGGTTAAATTTTAACCTGGGTTTCTTTTTCTTAGTATGAAAAGAATTCTTTCGGATAGTTTTCTCTATTCTTTTTAGATTATCCAATCATCAAATTGTAGACAAAGAGAATTAAACTTAATTTGTTTTTTAAGCTCTCATGTCTGTGTTCAAATTTCCCACTAACCCTGGGTTATCTTAACCCAGCTTCGAACAACCCGGCCCTCAGATGTACAAAAATCAGGTTAAAAGCTAATAATCTTGAGACTAAATAAAGTTACGAAGCAAAATCATTTCTCTCTTTGAAAAGTTATATAGAGACAGTGTGATGATAACATATTTACTAGAATAAAAACACCAACCTCGATTTAGCACCATATTTAGGACAAAAAAATTACTAAGCGCCACCCTCGAATAAGCGCCGCATTCGAGGCTCAAAAAATGTAATAAGCGCCGCGCCGCTTATTCGAGTAACTACCGTATTCATGTTTTTTACGTTCTCGTTCATTTAAGTTCCGGCCCGATGGTTTTCTGCTGGACCCGCTAACAAGGTATGAAGAATACCTAAATACAACATTCATCTCTCAGAGAAATACAATGATCTCAGTTCTCCATTCAGGGAATGAAGATGGTACGTGGACAACCATCTCAATTTAAGGAGAGAAAAAGCACGACTCCTTCAAAGCACAGAAACCGAGTGAAGCTCACACTATATGGTCAATTGGTCTGTGCACCTGTGCGCCTTTTTGTGCTCTAATATATGCATGCCTAAATTCTTCTCATAATCAACTACAGTCAACTCTTGCTCCACAGACACCTTGCAACCATAATACAGACACCCCGATGATACGGACAGCAGCTAAATCTCCGGCAAGAAAAAATACAGAAGTATAACTGAAATAAGCTTCTGATATTTCATTTTAAATAATTAAAAAATTTTGCTCATCAAAATGGTAACTTTTTGGGTATTATTTTTTACTTTTATATACGACAAATCCTACAATGTTCTACTTTGTAGATCAAGTAATTATATAACCCATCACAGCCAAACAGGCTTTGATCGCGAGTTACTTATTTAGGCTATGCTCACACTATACAAGATACCAGCTCTTGCGCCGGCACGAAAACCATACCGCTGATACCAGATAGGGCTCCTATTCACACATAAAAACGGAGTGATTTCGGTGCGATTTCTGTTACAACGGAGAAAGATGCGCCGCGCCCATCTCGAAAATGGAGCGTTTCATATCGTATAGGTTCTATGCCACACTATGGTGCAGTGTGAACAGGTATCCGAACACTAGCGGAAGTGAATTAGTAGGAGCGAGGGCTGCAACCCACCGAGAAGGAAGTAGATATTCAAGAGTGAAGACTGGGGTTTAGTTCACCACAACCCTCTCGGCCAACCGCTCCAGCAGGAGCTTGAGGTTCAATGTGTGTGAACGACTTGTTCCAGTTCTGTGCCATTGCTGTTCATACTATACCGGATAACTTTTTGGTGTTGGCACAAAAAGCCATCCGGTATATTGTGAACACAGCCTAAATCAAGTTGCTTTAAGTTATCAAATATGAGGACAGTATTGTTAGGGTCGCTATGTGATCATTGACTTTACATTCATTATTACCCACTGCTTTACAGAATTTGAAAATTCAATCGTTCTTTCACATGGCTATTCCGCTTTTTCGCATTGAGAGGAACGGAAAATTAAAACTGGTATTTGACCTGACGACTGGCTAGAACCGTTTGAGTCTTTTGGGGAGGACTTGAAGTTTACTGTGACACCAGAACACGAGGTTCTTGCCAGCCCATCCGTGAGATAAAAGGAGTTTCTACTTGTAACTATTCTAGCTGTTGCAGTGTATGTGACACCAGCGCCGATCGAAATCACTTGGGAAAAATGCACCTCAAATGTCTTGACACTGGAACTGGTAGCATAGGACCCAGTCTTTTCTGCGATCAAGTTGCTTCCACGGCACAAACGAATCGTGACCCGGAAAGTAGTTGAACCGATCTTGACTCCCCACAGACGGTACCCTGACAAAATGACGTCACCATTTGTCTGGAAATCGATCGCGTCAACACGGTCACTGCCACTGGGATCAGAAGAGTATCCCCAGCTACTGCCAGGACTTCTGGACCGGCTGCGCCAGCAGTTACAGTTAGCTAGAAAGAAAAACAACTATTTAATCGTGTGCCCAACTATTCCTAATGTTTGTTTGTTTGTTGGTGTTGGTGTTGATGTTGTAGTTGTTGTTGTTTTTTCGATAGTTAATAATCATCTTTATTGAGAAAACTTTTTCATAAAAGATATGGTTTTCAAAAAGGATCTCAAAACTAGATATATATTATAAAAACAAAAAAAAGCTATAAAATTGCAAAGGGATTAAAAAGATACAAAAAATGCATAAAAAATTAAGTATAAGTAAAAATTAAATCGCCCCATGTAAGGGAATCCAGGACAGTCTTGGATTCTGGATTCCATGCTGTGGATTCCGGATCCCGGGTACTGGATTCCGGATTCCAGCACAGTGGATTCCGGATTCCAAAAAGAGGTGGATTCCATTTTACTAACCCTGGGTTATCTTAACCCAGCTTCGAACAACCCGGCCCTCAGATGTACAAAAATCAGGTTAAAAGCTAATAATCTTGAGACTAAATAAAGTTACGAAGCAAAATCATTTCTCTCTTTGAAAAGTTATATAGAGACAGTGTGATGATAACATATTTACTAGAATAAAAACACCAACCTCGATTTAGCACCATATTTAGGACAAAAAAATTACTAAGCGCCACCCTCGAATAAGCGCCGCATTCGAGGCTCAAAAAATGTAATAAGCGCCGCGCCGCTTATTCGAGTAACTACCGTATTCATGTTTTTTACGTTCTCGTTCATTTAAGTTCCGGCCCGATGGTTTTCTGCTGGACCCGCTAACAAGGTATGAAGAATACCTAAATACAACATTCATCTCTCAGAGAAATACAATGATCTCAGTTCTCCATTCAGGGAATGAAGATGGTACGTGGACAACCATCTCAATTTAAGGAGAGAAAAAGCACGACTCCTTCAAAGCACAGAAACCGAGTGAAGCTCACACTATATGGTCAATTGGTCTGTGCACCTGTGCGCCTTTTTGTGCTCTAATATATGCATGCCTAAATTCTTCTCATAATCAACTACAGTCAACTCTTGCTCCACAGACACCTTGCAACCATAATACAGACACCCCGATGATACGGACAGCAGCTAAATCTCCGGCAAGAAAAAATACAGAAGTATAACTGAAATAAGCTTCTGATATTTCATTTTAAATAATTAAAAAATTTTGCTCATCAAAATGGTAACTTTTTGGGTATTATTTTTTACTTTTATATACGACAAATCCTACAATGTTCTACTTTGTAGATCAAGTAATTATATAACCCATCACAGCCAAACAGGCTTTGATCGCGAGTTACTTATTTAGGCTATGCTCACACTATACAAGATACCAGCTCTTGCGCCGGCACGAAAACCATACCGCTGATACCAGATAGGGCTCCTATTCACACATAAAAACGGAGTGATTTCGGTGCGATTTCTGTTACAACGGAGAAAGATGCGCCGCGCCCATCTCGAAAATGGAGCGTTTCATATCGTATAGGTTCTATGCCACACTATGGTGCAGTGTGAACAGGTATCCGAACACTAGCGGAAGTGAATTAGTAGGAGCGAGGGCTGCAACCCACCGAGAAGGAAGTAGATATTCAAGAGTGAAGACTGGGGTTTAGTTCACCACAACCCTCTCGGCCAACCGCTCCAGCAGGAGCTTGAGGTTCAATGTGTGTGAACGACTTGTTCCAGTTCTGTGCCATTGCTGTTCATACTATACCGGATAACTTTTTGGTGTTGGCACAAAAAGCCATCCGGTATATTGTGAACACAGCCTAAATCAAGTTGCTTTAAGTTATCAAATATGAGGACAGTATTGTTAGGGTCGCTATGTGATCATTGACTTTACATTCATTATTACCCACTGCTTTACAGAATTTGAAAATTCAATCGTTCTTTCACATGGCTATTCCGCTTTTTCGCATTGAGAGGAACGGAAAATTAAAACTGGTATTTGACCTGACGACTGGCTAGAACCGTTTGAGTCTTTTGGGGAGGACTTGAAGTTTACTGTGACACCAGAACACGAGGTTCTTGCCAGCCCATCCGTGAGATAAAAGGAGTTTCTACTTGTAACTATTCTAGCTGTTGCAGTGTATGTGACACCAGCGCCGATCGAAATCACTTGGGAAAAATGCACCTCAAATGTCTTGACACTGGAACTGGTAGCATAGGACCCAGTCTTTTCTGCGATCAAGTTGCTTCCACGGCACAAACGAATCGTGACCCGGAAAGTAGTTGAACCGATCTTGACTCCCCACAGACGGTACCCTGACAAAATGACGTCACCATTTGTCTGGAAATCGATCGCGTCAACACGGTCACTGCCACTGGGATCAGAAGAGTATCCCCAGCTACTGCCAGGACTTCTGGACCGGCTGCGCCAGCAGTTACAGTTAGCTAGAAAGAAAAACAACTATTTAATCGTGTGCCCAACTATTCCTAATGTTTGTTTGTTTGTTGGTGTTGGTGTTGATGTTGTAGTTGTTGTTGTTTTTTCGATAGTTAATAATCATCTTTATTGAGAAAACTTTTTCATAAAAGATATGGTTTTCAAAAAGGATCTCAAAACTAGATATATATTATAAAAACAAAAAAAAGCTATAAAATTGCAAAGGGATTAAAAAGATACAAAAAATGCATAAAAAATTAAGTATAAGTAAAAATTAAATCGCCCCATGTAAGGGAATCCAGGACAGTCTTGGATTCTGGATTCCATGCTGTGGATTCCGGATCCCGGGTACTGGATTCCGGATTCCAGCACAGTGGATTCCGGATTCCAAAAAGAGGTGGATTCCATTTTTTTCCCGTTTTAACGCTTTTCTTCGCACTTCGTTTTCGTGTTCGAATCTTGCTATATTACAAGACGTTGTTAGAAGGCATAACAAGTTTGTTTTCTTTTTCGACTTACAAAATTACTAGCCTCCCACGCAGACGTTCTTAGGGGTTCGTCACGCGTTCCCGTGACGAACCCCTAAGAACGTCTGCGTGGGAGGCTACAAAATTACGGGAAGAAATGTATTACAGTTCCCTAAGGGTTTATAGTATAATAATGAGGGGGACATTGGCGGACTGTCTACACCGCAGAAAAAAATAACAAACACTGCATCACCGCAAAAAAACGTAGCGAAACACCGACATTGCAATTTAAAGTTTTGTCCTACGATTAATCTAATCGAAATCTCCATGTAATTAGGGATGGAGGATCTCGGAGCTGGTTAGTGATTGGTAGAGAGTGAGACTGACCTCAGGACTCTATTTTTCACTTAATTTACTTTTGTGAACTCTATTTTAAGCCATGCAGATAGAAAAATGCAGGCAACGCCTAGATTTCGCCAGTTATCCTTTTGTTTTGAAGTCTTTTTGCATAAAAAGACCATACAGATCATCCTACGCTCCGGGTATGAAAAAGCAGTGAAATATTTATTATTTAATCAATTTTAACCGACGTTCCTAGGAGGGTGGAACTTGTTTTGGCTTGTTTTGGGTCGTTGTGGATCTTTTGTCGATTATTTTTTATCATTGTGGATCGCTTAGGTCGTTTTGTCTCTTTTTGCCTGGTTTCTCGTTTTATTAGTAACTGGCCAAATGAAAATACGCTATGGCGTGTGCAATTCCTTCTTTGCAAAGTCTTTGGTTCTGTTCACTAAAGAGTAGTTTTCCGTCTCAATAAAACTTGGAAAACCATTTTTATCTTATCCTTTAAGACTTTTTAAAACTCTCTCTCTCTCTCTCTCTTGAAGAGGGTAAAAAATTCTCGCGTAGAAGTTGACGCGTACTGCTTTGAGGTTTTAGCGCGCGCAATTATAATGAAATTCAAACTAACT